GCTATGCACAGGTGTGATCATAGCTCACTGCAACCTTGAACTCCTGGGCCCAAGTGATCCTCCTGCCTTAGCCTCCCAAGTAGCTGGGACTACAGATGCATGTGGCTTTTTTTTTTTTCATTTTTTTGGTGGGAGGTGTGGGCTTACCCCCTCTTAAAAGGTGGATACTTGACAGATCATGTGCAGAGTCCCTGGAACTTTTTGTCACTGCTGCCCCAGAACAGGCAGAAGCATTTCTGGGAGGACAGGCTAACAGCAGATCTTGCCGAATCCTGTCTGCTGATCTTGTTCCCTTGCTTCCTCTTCATACCTGAGGCTTGTTTCCAAAATGACAATCTTACATTCTCAAGACCAAGCCTTGATACTGTTTTAGAGTGAATGAAAACTAGCTATTTGACTTGTTTTTATTGCTCTAACAAGTTTTAAAAAAATGTTATTATTATTATTTTCTTTTTAGAGATAGGTTCTCACTGTGCCCCCCACCCCCCCGCCAGAATGGAGTACAGTGGCCTGATCATACCTCCCTGCCATGCCCAGCTAATTTTTATTTTTTGTACAGACAAGGGCCTTGCTATTGTCCAGGATGGCCTGGAACTCTTGGTCTCAAGGCTGTCTCAGCTTCCCAAAGTGCTGGGATTAGAAGCATGGGCCACCGCAACTGGTGACAAGTATTGTTTGAATGCCCACTATGCGTACTCAAATTGTAGTAACTGATCTCAAACAGCTGAGTTCTGGTAAGCTATGTAGAGAGCCACATAGAATGGTCTCAAACCAGAGGACACTACCAGAATTGCTGTCTACGTTAAGACCTTAAGACCTGATGGTGTATATGTGTGTTTGTTTGCTATGCCCTGGTGCTGAACCTGTACCTGCCCTGACCTAATTCTTTACCCTAAACTCTTCCTTCTTTGATATCATTTAAAAGTTCTGTGAAGGCTTTCTGAGGGATAACCATAGACAGCAGAAATACGTCCACTCCCTGAGGGTGCTACTTACTGGTATCATAAATGGCGCATCTATTTTACTTAGTAAGTCTGTTGCAAATCATTTTTCTGTTGGTCGAATTATTTCCTTGTCATCACATATGTGTTTTATTCCACCAATAAAAATGTAAGCTCCCTAGGGTGAGGAACCTTGTTCTATAACCTTATTTCTCTATTTTTTTTGAAAGAGATGGATAACCACTCATGGGTATTTAGAAAATGCTTCTTGAGATGGGATTTTTCACAGAATTGTGAATGGAAGCGAGAGTGCAAGCAAAATGTTGTAGACCATTTTACACCTTCTCCCCTCCCTGTGTCTGATCAGCCAATGACCTCACTTCTCATTTCACTGAGGACATGGAAGCAATCGGCACACCTCTCTTCACTCCGACTCTGCCCACCTTGTGGCATCTTTATTCCCCCCTTGTCTGCTTTCCTTCTGTTGAATGGGTGCACCATCCCTGCTTCTCCTAAGACCACGCCCTCCATTTAATTACTGGACATTGTCCCCTTTGCCAACTCAACCCAGCTTCATACGGGCAGGTTCTCTCTTCTGCATAACCGATTTTTGTTTCTCTGCTGAATCATTCCAGCTAAGCATATAAAAATATACTATCGTATCATCTATGTTATGCATATGTTGTCCCATACGTATCTGACAAGTGTCTCTTATTGGACAGTTTTTAATTCATTGTCTTGGGGGAGGTAAGAAAATGAGGGATTTGAGTAGGAAAGGAATATTAAGTGAGTTTTCTTGTATTTTTTCACTGATTTCCCTATTCCGCCTACCTTTGTGCTCTCTTAGGATTCTTTAAAAATATTTATAATAATATTCTGATTTTGAAGGAATTCATATTAATTATACATATGGGGGAAAACAGAAAAAATGAAAAAAAAATCACCTTTAAAATCAGACATGCAGAGATCACCTTTGTTAAAAACAGTGTATTAGCTTTATAAGTGTTAAAAATTGTAATCATGTGGTATATTTGGTTTCATTTATTGAATTTTTTTCCCCCAAGAGCATTTCCAGGTCCTTAGAATGATTTTAGTGGCAGTATTTGTATAGTAAATGCCATGATTTATTTACACTCTCTATTCCTGGCAGACTCTTATGTTTTTCCCAATTTTTGATACAGGAAGATGCCCAATGAAATATTTCAATATAATTAATTATGTACATTTATGATTTTTCCTATGAATTAAGTTCATAGGAATAGAATTAATGGGACAAGTGTGTAAACGTTCTCTTTTTCTCTCTCAAGTGTTAGTAATGCTTAGAATCTAAAGCACATGTTGTTTCCATTACTGAACCTTGTGTCTTCTTTTTTTTGTTTTGTTTTTCTGAGACAGTCTCACTCTGTTTCCCCAGGGTAGAATGCAGTGGACTTATCATAGCTCATTGCAAAGTCAAACTCCTGGGCTCAAGGGATCCCCTCCTGCCTCAGCCTCTCACATAGCTACAGGTTTGTGCCATCACACATGACTGATTTTTTTTTTTCTATTTTTTGCTCTTGCTCAGGCTAGGCTCAAACTCCTGACCCCAAGTGATCCTCCTGCCTCCGCCCTCCTGGAGAGCTAGGATTACAAGCATGAGTCACTAAACCCAGCCCCTTTGTATCTTTAATCCAAAGCCTTCAAATGCTCCAAAGTTCTCCTTACCTTTTTACTTAGGCGTTGGCCATTTGTAACTTTTCCATATCTTTAAATTACAAAAGTGATTCATGCTGAGAAGTCCATACCTATTTAAACAAACAGTGTAGAGGTTTAAAAATGATAAGGTACAGGACCAAGACACTTCCTATCTTCATGACATTTTCAATTCTATTAATTTATTAAAAATTTTTCTATACACAAGGCAGTCCTAAATGTTGGTGGGGGGAGTAGGGAAATATGATGAAGTTTCTAGGGTAGAAAATCTAGTACAGCTTATGTGTTGCTGAGTTCTATAAGGATTCTGAGAATCCATGTGTGTGCCAGGCATTATCTATGGACTGAATAAACTTCAACAACAGCAGTAATTATAGCTAATATTTATCAAGTGCTTTTGCTACGTGGGGCACTGTGATGGTTGTTTTATACATATTTGTCTTTTCAAGTTAAATATATACATAGATATATCGTGATTAGTTAAAAACAAAGAGAAAAGGACAAATTCAAGAAGGAGGTGGGGAGAGGCTCAGTAAGTCCCCCCCCCTTCTATGTAGGGGTATACAGCGTGCTTCTGGACTCAACTACAACTCAGACTTCGGACTTTACCTTACAAACTCTAATAATATAACCTAATCACGTGTATCCTCATATTAACCCCTCCCAAACAAATTTACTTAAAAGTATTATTGTGTTTTTTTTTCAATCAGTGGCTACTAAAAATCCATTACTATCTGAAATATTTTTGGCTTTAAAAATGAGGCCCCCACGTTCAGAGTTGGGGGTTGGAACCCATCCATCCATAGATAGGACATGGGATAAAACATCCCTATACTGAAGATTAACACAAGATTAAAAGTGAGGAGTGGATCTCAGGGCAGGTCTCAGGAATTCAGTTATTTGAACATCAATCTTAATTGCACTTTCTGGCCTGGAACCTGGAACCCACCTCACGGTCTTTATTTTCTTGTGCCCGTTTTAGGTTCCCAGGCTTGGTAGGAGGAGCAGGGCTTCTGGTGAGGATCTGCGAGTTTCCATGCCTGCGGTCCTCCCTGGAGAGGGCTTGCCACTTGTCTGTGATTCCTGCAGCTCTTTGATGGCCCTGCAAGGCCCACAGAGAAGGGTGAGGGTTCCAAGCCAAAGGTACATGTGTCAGAGAAGGAACTCACCTGAGCACCCACTCACCACCCATTCGCAGTAGAAACCAAAGGGCAGCTCATCAGTAGTGTCTCTCCCTCCTTTTTTCCTGTCCTCTTGCTCACTGGCAAGTCCTGAACTGTAGGCCACAGGACACCAGACAGAATGTCCTGGGCTTTGGAGGCCTCAGCCACAGACTCCGCATTTCCTTCCCGGTGGAGCCAGAGGTGCAGGAGCAGGACACACTGTGTGGCTCACAAGGTGAAGGTGGGGAGGGAATGATGCCCATTTTTACCCATCATGACTATTGTATTTCAGAGCACTGTAAGAGCGACCTGTTGAAGACACGGTAAATATGAAAGACATTTGAAAAGTATTTGTCATGGAACAATTGAAAATGAAAAAAGACATTTTCCCCTCCTTTATGGGTTTTCAAGTGCTTGTGAAGTTGAGAAAGTGCCGAATAAATCTGATAGTAAGTTGAATGCTGCCAGACAGAAGATATTATTGTCATTTAAGATAGAGATATTGCATTGTGTTTTAAAGAGACTTTGTTAGAACCATATTATTTTCTAAAATGCATTGTTACAATGAATGCCTCTAGCTATGTTCCCAATTTTAGTAGAGTCTGAATAGAAGTATTCATTAACTGTTTCTTTGATCTAGCTATACGTAACACAAAGAATAAATAGTATTAATTGAGCACTTTGCTAGGTGCCAGGTACTTGCTACATGCATATAATTTTCCCTTTTATAAAGTATATTGTCTTCTGACAACCCTTTAGAATAGCTGTTATTATTATTACTTTTTGGACAAGAAGTAGGATTTATTGGCAGGTATGAATGAGGGGGCAGCACAGTAGAAACCCTCCTGAGTGCAGAGCCCATCCCTTGTCTAGGGGACCACAAATGGGGATGTATTTGACCCCACACCAGCTGGGATGAGCTGCTTCTCAGCCACCATGTCTTCAAATTTATCTGCATTAAACTTGGTAAAGCCTCACTTCTCTGAGATGTGAATCTTCTGGCCGCTAGGAAACTTGAACTTGGCCCTGCGAAAGGCCTTAGTCACATGACACATTTTGGCAGTGTGGTATGGATGGACGTGATGTCTTAGCCAATGTGAACCCTGGCCATGGTGCCCTGGGGCTTTCCAAAGGCACCGTGTGTACCTGTCTGGAGCCTAGACTGGGGGCAGCACAAGATCTGACACATGAACATATATCAAAAATGACTCTCCAAGGTCCCTTAGAGCAACCCATATAAGCAACAGGCTGCATATACTACCAGGGAGGCTGCTATTTGCAGCCATTGCACACCAGGCCTCCCAGAGGAAAGTAGCATGGTTGGCTTAATTGGCTGTAGGTGGAATAGCTGTTATTTACTATCCTAATTTTAAAAAAAGACTAAAGTATGAAACTGGAGTAATTTGGTCAAGGTCACACAGCTCAAACAGGAAGAATCTGAACCTGAACAATGTGGCCCAAGAGCCTATGCTATTTTAACCCCTGTCTTATACTGTTATTTTATTTCACCAAACAAAAGCTTCCTGTTAACCCCATGTTTTTCAGTCTCACCAGTCCTCATGTCAATAACTTCCTAAAATGTCTCTCAAGTTTCTTGTAAAAAAAAAAAAAAGTACGGTATTTCGTTTTCACTTGACTTTTAATCAGGGATGAATCAAGGATATTTTGGGCTCATAAAAAATTCATTTCCACAAAGAGCTGTTGGGAGAATGTACACATCTGTTCACTGTGCCATTATTTCCAAACTTCAAGAATATGTGCAGGCTGGGCCTTTTCAACACTTCACTAAAACGTAACAGTGTGATGAGATCAACAAGGCAACTTATATTTTAGTAGGTGACAATAGGGAATTAAAAACAAAGACTCAATTTTTCTGTTGAGTGAATCTGACTGGTGCTTGGTGACACCTGCTGATTGATGATCTCTGGCTTGCGTGGGAGGACACAGAGAGAGTCAACACAGATGTGCACAAACCATGTGGGGAGTGGGGGTGTCCATTCTCTTGAAGTGATCTCGGTATTGGGGTTAGATTTATGATTTCTTTTTATTGGCAACAGTGGCTGCTATGAGGTTTCTAAGAAGGTGCAGAATGAATGTTAGGCCTTGAAAGTCAATTTTAGAAATTCTAAAACAAACGTTGGTCAATAGGTTTGATGTCAAAACAGAAATGATTGATGGAGAAGACCTTTCTTAAGACAGCAAGCAGCATGCGATCTGGCTCCTTTGAGTGCCCTTGAGGGAGACCAATTTGCCAGGCTTGTATTTACTATTTCATTTGACTTAGTTGTGGCATTTACATAGTAATGTTTTCAGTTTAACTTGGGAATGTTATTTCAAATCCTATACACGCTGCATATAAAAGTGTCTAAATGAGTTATCTTATGTGTTTACTGTTTTTCAATGTTTGTTTATGTGCCTATTTGAAACTGCTGTTTGCCCATCACTGCCTTCGTTGTAATATACTGTCAGCAGGGTCCCCAAATAGGAAATGTGGTGTTCCTCTGGGGTCTGTAGTAACAAACTCCCATACCTGAGGCTTACACCACATTCTATATGAACACAAGTGATTTCTTTTAGGAAGTACTCAGGTTAGTGGTTTTCAGTGGTGGTGTTTTGGTTTCCTTGTCATTCGTCATTTGTATGGGGGCTGAGAAGAGGTTGAATACAATTGATCTAGTGAATAGAGATGTAGCGGGTAAATGCTTTTAGCTTTCTCAGATGTACAGACCAGGACCAGCTTATTTTCTACGATAATGTTTTAACTCCAGTAGCCATTTGCCTGGCATCAGAAAACTTACTTCAAGAAAATAAAGGATTATCTTGGTGAAAGCACTGATTTTTATAAGTCAATTTAGGATTTCTTCCATCGGATTAAGTTCTCTCTCTCACCCTCCTTAGGGTGACATCTTAGTTCTGGAGGTCTTAACTGGTGTCCTAGTAGTGGTTGGGGGTATTGGGATGGCGTCTTTTGGGATGCAGAGCTCAGAGTCTGATCTGGGACAATATTGTTTCTAATATTTATAGCTCTGAATCCCTGTAGGTCCCTGGATGTTTATCTATATGCTGTATGTCCTTTGTTTTATAATATATATATTTTTGACACACATTCTTGTTGTGTCGCCCTTGGTAGAGTGCTGTGGTGTCACAGCTCACAGCAACCTCAACTCTCGGGCTTAAGTGAGTCTCTTGCCTCAGCCTCCCAAGTAGTTGGGACTATAGGCACCCACCACAACATCTGGCTATTTTTTGTTGCAGTTGTCATTGTTGTTTAGCTGGCCCGGGCTGGGTTTGAACCTATTAGTCTTGGTGTGTGTACGTGGCTGGCACTGTAACCACTGTGTTATGGGCGCCGAGCCTGTTTTATGATATTGACACCCCTCTAGGTCCACTAAGTTTCTCTTAGTTAAATTCTATGCTCTTTATGTGCTTATAACAATTCAGCTGCTCTAATGGCAGTCTAGCAGAGTGGGGCTATCTTGGGCTCTCTGGCCTTCGTGACAACACTGTACAGCTGTCTCTGGTGCAAAATTGCAAGATATTGTCACTCAGTCTTTCTGAGAAGAATTAGTTATAAGTCCCCTCCACTCTGCATTGTTGCCTCCCCCTACCCTACTGGTGGGAAGGTGTACAGAGGTCATTGCCAATGTCTTGCTTTCTGGCTTTTGTCTGTATCTCCTCTAGAAATTCTCCCAAGAAACTGGGCATGTACCTTACTCTGTCCTTGACTGTCCCTCAAGTGTAGATCCTCCTGGTGACCATTCCATTAACTCAGGCACTGACCAGAGAGAATTGAAAGCACATGAAGCCATGCTTCTGGGACTGAGGGCTACAGTGACACAGCCCAAGATAGAGTAAGGTACATGCCCAATTTCTTGGTTTGGGAGAATCTCTAGGGGTGATAAAGATGAAAGCAAGAAAGCAAGACATTGCTGACGACCTCTGTACACTTTTCCACCAGTAAGGTAGGGGGAGGTAGCAATTTAGAGTGGAGGGGATTTATAACTAAGTCTTCTCAGAAAGACTGAGTGACAATAGGGTTGTCTAATTTAAACAAATTGTTTAAATCTAGGGTTGCATAATTGATCTTTGTATCATCAGCATATATTATAACTTTTTAAGATAGATTTTTTAAATCAGGAATGTGCAAATGTCTTTTTATTCAAAAATACAAAATGAATTATCTGTAGACATGGACAATGGATGACAGCAGTAAACCATTATATTTGTCCCCTGAGACCAGTAACTGATGGTTATAGTGATTTTTTTAAACATCAGCCAGTCTTCTCTTTTTTTTCTCTTAATTTTTTAATTAAATCATAACCGTGTACATTAATGTATTTATGGGGTACAACGTGCTGATTTTATATACAATTTGGAATGCTTACATCAAACTGGTTACTTTCTTCAACTGACTTCTCTGAAGTTATGGGTGAGGAACACTGCCTTGAGCTTCCTGTCACAGTTCATTAATGGTAAAGCACTATTCTAGGAATTAGAACATGCCATCTCCCATACCACCTCCCATGCCACCCACTGTACCCATTCCAGGGTCCTTCTCTTCTTTAGGAAGTTCTGTGACTACAACTTCTGCTGTAGTTAACAGAGAAGCCACCCCAGCAGCATCCAGGAAAGCAGTTCTTACCACCTTTGTGGGATCAATTATTCCTTTTTCCACTATATTCATAAAGTCTCCAATCACAGCATCATAACCAACTTCTGAGGAACTTTGCATTATTTTCTCAACTATCAAAGATCCTTCAACACCTGCATTCTTAGCAATGGTCAATGAAGGAATTTTGAGTGTTCTTTTAATAATTTCTATACCAATTTTCTGATCTTCATTAGCTGGAGTTAATGAGTCCAAGGCTGGAATGCACCAAAGCTGGGCACAACCCCCTCTGAGAATAATGCCTTATTCAACAGTAGTTCTTGTGGCATTAAGGGCATTTCTAACTCTGTCTTTCTTTTTAGTTACTTCAACATCACTTGTTCCACCAACCTTCAGCACAGCTACTCCATCTGAAAATTTTGCCAGACATTCATTTAGTTTTTCCTTTTCATATTCACTAGTTGTAATCTTTAACTGTCAACAATTTCTTGAATATATTTTTCAATTTGAGCCTTGTCACCTTTTCCTTTCAAGAGCATAGTATCATCTTTGGTCACAATGACCTCTCCAATTTTTCCTTAGTCATAAGGCTGAACATCTTCAAGGTTTAGGGTCAACCCCTCTTCTCTGAACACTGCACCACCAGTAGCAATCACCATGTCTTTAAGCTGATTCTTTCTATTATCACCACAACCTGGAGCTTTGACTGCTACAACTTGAAGACCAACTTTCAGCTTATTCAAAATGAGTGTGCTTAGAGTTCCTCCATCAACATCTTCAGCAACTATGACCAAGGGCTTATGGTGAGCATTGGCAATGTCAAGAGCAGGTACAACTGACTGGACACTAGAAATTTTCTTTTCACTTAATAGAACATAGGCATCCTGGAATTCACATTTCCAACCTTTTGATGTGTTAATAAAATATGGAGAAATATAGCCTCGATCAAACTTCATGCCTTTGATAATTTCTAATTCATCATTCAGTGTTTTTCCACCCTTTACTGTGATGACACCTTTTCTTCCAACCTTTTTCATTGCATCAGAAATAATGCTGCCAATTTCTTTGTCTCCATTTGCAGAAATCGTAGCAACCTGAGCAATTTCCTCAGGGGCTGTCATAGGTTTAGACTGCTTCTTCAGTTCAGCAATGACAGCATTGACAGCTAACATCACACCTCTCCTGATTTCCACTGGATTAGCACCTTTGCTAATCTTTTCAAAGCCTTCCTTGGCAATAGACCATGCCCACACAGTGGCAGTGGTGGTACCATCCCCAGCCTCTTCATTTGTGTTATTGGCAACATTTTGAACAAGTTTAGCTCCAATATTTTTGTATTTATCCTTTAAATCAATTGAATTTGCAACAGTCACCCTATCTTTTTTTACTTTGAGACTTCCCAAACTCTGTTCAATAATCACTGTTCTTCCCTTTGGACCCATTGTAACGGCTACAGCATCAGCTGAAAGGTCTACATCTTGAAGCATTAAGACTTGGGGATCTGCAGGAAATTTTACATCTTTGGCACAAGCGCAAGTGAGATGAGGAGCCAGTGCCCTGGACACTGGTCTTATCTGGCAAAGAACTGTGGGTAATTGAAGCATTTCTGTGGGGTGGTGGCAGGGTGGCAGGTTGTCGGTAGCGAGTGAGGGTAAGACAGATTTTTTTAACTTAAAAATCATTATCTAAACCCCAAATCCCCTTTCCCCCCTTCTCTTATCTTTAGAGAA